CTCGCCCATAGAGAAATTGTTTTCCTAGCATCTTCGCTTTTAGTTATTTAAAAATGCAAAAAATATGTGTCGATTGAGTTATAACTGAAAGACGCAAAATAAAGCCCTATTTCTGACAGTGCACTCAGTGAAGGTTCGGATAAATAAATACCTGTAGGCGTCATGCTCGCACAGTTTAGGTTAGTGACAAAATACATTTACTCACAAAAATATCTGCGGGTATACGGAGAGTGCAACTGAGTATGGCTTCGTAAAACGTTTTTCTTGTTCACTGCCGGTAGAAGTTAACCACCGACATGAACAGGCTACATTGCACAAGAAAGACTCATGATAAATTGCCGTAATGCAGCCGGCATTATACTCCTATGGGAACGACAGAAAGATCTAAATAGTGCATAAATGCAGCCTGAGGACGGTTTTAAGGAATATGCGTCTCACAACGTCCTCAACAGAAAACTTGGTCGGATGTGGTTATGTAGCTCACCTAAAGTAGACAAACCCCATTCACATCTAATACGCGACCGGCGGTAATGGGGGCTTTTACAGGTGGGGCCGTGGAACGCACAGGCGACGAGATCAAGTATTTGTATGGAAAAGAAAAGCTACTCAGAATGCGCTGTTGTACGTTGAGTGGTTGAGAAAAAGTTGTCCTTACCTCCAATCATAACCCTAACCTTCAACCCTATTCCCTAACCCATAATCATAACCCCTAACCCTGGCCTCCTACTCTGACCCCTAACTCTAACCATAACCGCTAATCCTTACCATAACCGCTAACCCTAACCATAACCACTAACTCTTAACCCCAATCCCAACTGTATTATGTCCATCGGGTTGGGCTACCAAACCACATCTTACCAAAAAAATTTATTACAATTAATGACATATTTGACCGTAGCTGTACTCTGGATTTCTCTACTTTTCTTGTAGCCCCTGAATTAAATTTATTCTGATGCGACATACATGCGAAGGTGGAAATTCAATGACCACGACTAAAAGCACCCTATCACAAGCTTATGACTGAAAAATAATCCTCCAGCTGTTTTTTTCATCCACCAGTTGTTGCAGTCTACTTTGCTACTAAGGCATTTATTTTGGATGGCTCAAGTTCATACCTCAGAACCCTGCTGTTTTCCCATGTTAGAGATTAACTCACCTCTCACCTATATCCCTTCAGGCTAAATTGACTTCGCCCGGTGATAGAAAACTGCTGGTGAGTTTTTGTGGAATTTCTGACGCTAATAAAAACTGCTCTATTTTGACCGCTCGCTCTTCCACAACCTTTGGCTGTAGAATCTGTAAGCCTCTTGAATCCCATGATATATTTTTACTTTCTATATTCAACGACCTCCGAGATTATGCCAATGCCAAAATCACCTGTCTTAGATCGTTTGGCCATTAGTTTCTGAGCACGACAGAATTTATTCTTAACTCTGATCTTTAAAGTTAGAGGTCTTTTCGGGTGGCATAAATGGGCTTTGAAAATCCATAATGTTAAAATATACTCAACATCGGAAAAACTCGTTTACTCTTCTGATACCTTAACAGAATGTCGCAGACGTGATAAGTCCCATTAAAGACTCTCCTACTTCTCTCTCTCTTGACTATGCCTCCCAAAGATGCAGATGAACGTACGCAGATGTGTTCCTCATTCTGGCTGTCTGGCGATTTTAAATCACTTGAAAGTAAAAGCCGTCAAAAACTGGGACTGAGGTCTCCAACCAAAACAATCTGACGTAAACCACGACTGCCTTTGCAGCAGAACAAACTGATTAAGTCATTTAAAGTACTGGAGGAATCTCTCGGCCTACTTTTCCTTCCCCCTTTTCAGCCTTGCACTAGACATTGTCCATATTTATCTGAGCGATATTGAAAGTTCCTTAATCCAGCTTCCCTCAACCTCCTCTAGAAGAGCAAACTGCATTTTAACATGTTTAAAATATGAGGCTTGCAATTTGTGCATAAGTTCATTCCCTTGCCTAAATACTTTTACGTATGTCTAATTGGTTCCTTGTCCTTATTGTCCGATTTTTTTATTAAAGTCAAACCCAAGTCCTGTTTACTTTTTAAAGTATGGTCGAACTTCGCACATAACCACCGGAAAGCAATCTATCATAACAGCCCTCAAAGGCGAAATTCATTCTATTACGGGTTAGGCTTGTGCGAAATTTTCATCCGCAGCCTACACCACCACCCATTTAACTAGGTTTTGTCGCCCATAAACGGCGTTCAGAGAAAAATGACCGTTCATTTTCCTCGACTTCTACGGGTTGCATCCAGTTGCATTTACAAACTGCCGACAGCTGTCTAATCGATAATTATGACGTAGATGTTCCCGGTTTATTTGTCAAACTTCCGCGCAGAAGTTTTATCAAATTCAAAAAAGATAAACAACTCGATTTTGCGAACATCGCAGTCTTTGCCACCTAAAGCCCTTTATTATTCAGCTTGAACATTGCATATGAAATGTGTATTATGTAAGTCTGTAACACTGGCTGTAATACGCTTAAGGAATTTCCCCCAATTACCAACCTTATCCATATTGCAAATATTCTGAATATTTCTGTAAAGACCCTTTATATGAATCTATGCCATTAACAATATGTCTGAAGCGTTTCATAATGATTTACTCTAATGGCTTTCCGTAGATAATAAAAAGAATTCTAATGTTAGGGGACGCTCACCGATCGTTCATACGGAACTCACTCGTTCCCTTGTGCCTTAAGGGCTCTCTCTCGAGCCCAACCAGCAGCCGCACAACGGCGCATGATATATAGGCAGAATAGTATTACCGACAAAGACAATGGAGACTGGAATGGCCATTTCTGGCTTATTAGCCGTCGTCAGCCAGCCATACCCAAGCCCGAAATGTGGAACACCTGAGCCTCGAACTCGCGACCTGTTGGTTTAGAAGTCCACGCCTCTACCCACCGGACCTTTGGGTATGGCTGGCTGACGACGGCTAATAAGCCAGAAATGGCCATTCCAGTCTCCCTTGTCTTTGTCGGTAATACAATTCTGTCTAAAAAGACTTCTATTTTCGCTTCACTTTACCGCTTTCTCACTGTTCTCGCCGTGTATGGCATCGTGAGCGTTGCTTGCTTGCGGCCGGATCAAAGAATCATACGCTGAAGATACTAATTTATAATTAAATACAATAATTTTAGCAAAAATGATTTACTTTCACAATACTACTGACAGAGCAGACTGGCTGGTTCCCACCAAATAGTTTCAACAATGAAAATTTGAGCTGGGACCTATACGCCAAGGCATCCCATGGAATAGGAGGGCAACTCTGCAAGCAAATCCATGGACGACAGTCAAAATTTTGCGTCACAACATCGCCGTCCATTTCACTCCGAAAACTGCCATAGTATGTACTGTTTCTCCTCGGTGTTCTAATGAGGTCGGCTGAGGAGGCATCAGCGTCAACACCATCGTTCATTCTCCGCCAAACATATCCCTTAGCCACTCCCCTTCTCCACCCATAGGAGAGCATTGGGTCGATGTGGACCTGTCATCGAACGATGCAGAGCAATAGGGACGTATCGGGTCACCCATGTTTGGCATGGCTCTCACGCGCATTCAGTGTTTCCAGTCATCTAATGAGCCCGAAAGACCCAGGTCCTGAACGAGAGACAGTATGGACCGTCTACTGACTGCGTTTCCGTTATGGAAAGTGTAATCGCGTAGGAAGAATAGCTCTACGATTACCGACGACAACGGAAGTATGCCGCTTAGTTACAAAAGTGTCTAACTTACCCAGATATGATCATATGTCTTGCCCCATCATGACTGCCATCATAGAATGACGCAATGCCAACACAACTAAAGGCTTGCCAAGGCTATGAACATACGAAATTCATTCAAACAACAGTTGTGTGTGATCCGCTAACGGCTTGCCTAACTGCACCGGCGCAGGACAAATGAACAGACTGAGAGCCAACTGGCGCATGCCTTTCCTTATAGTATTTAATTTTAGCCGAAGAGGAGGATTAGGAAGACGCTACTCTTTGCCAGACAGGGGTAACTGTCTCTGCGACTATGGCTGTCAGTATGACAGGCGCGGTGACGTCATAATTCGGACTGCACACCAGACTCGAAAGTCTACAACTAATAAAGGCTGTTCTTGTTCTCTAACTAAATAGACGCCTGCTAACTGCAGCTCGGTGATGGTAAGACCTTGTCAATAGAAGCAAAGAGACGAGTCCCAGAAAATAGTCTTGAAGAAGGAGACACGATCATTAGGACAAGAGCTTTATTAGCCTGACGTTTCGGATTCCTGCTCAAATCCATCATCAGAGACAACAGCAGATATGGATAATTCACGCAGAAGGGGCTGCATTATTTATAGAATGCAGTCGCCATGCTACCGCATACCTATGAATATTAACGGCTCCCGCCTTCACCAGAGATCGTTGCACTTGGTGCGCTAATTGTTTGATGGCCGACATCTGCGTCGTTAATTGCTGCAATTTCATCACGTGCATTGGATGTTGGTGTGTCGATTTCTCGACCATCTGACGCACCGACCCTGGTGTTAGGAAAAGTGTTCATCTGTGCGCTCTCCGCGTGGCTAATTACTCCGCCTAGGCGAAGTCTCAGCACCGAGTATGGAAGGGGAAGATCATTGCACTTGTTAATTGACCGGAGGCCCAGTAAACCATGACTCAAGCAGCTCCCGGCTCACGCGGTTGTCACCTCTTGCGAGAACTTCGGCCTCGTCGAATTTGAATGTGTGGCCGGATCTCGTCGAATGAGCCGCAACTTGAGAGCTGGCGTCATTTCTGCGCACCGCTGCCGCGTGTTCGGCCATTCTCGTTCGGAGCTGCCTTCCGGTTTCTCCGACGTAGTTGCTTTGTCTGCAACTGCACTAGATCCGATAAATGACTCCAGAAGTTTCTAGCCGTGGCAGCGGGTCTTTCGGTTTCACTAGCTGACGCCAGTGGGAAGACCAGTCGGAAGACCAACACCACAGACCGAAGTTCTGGGCCCCGTATATGGATGATACCTTCGTCGTTATCGACCGGGCCCAACTGCTGACATTTAAGGAACGTCTGAATACTGTCTTCCCGGACATGCAATTTACGATGGAGGTGGAAGAGAACAACCAGCCGGCCTTCCTGGATGTCCTCGTATGCCGCAAAGAAGACCAAAGTGTTCAGGAAGGCGACAAATACGATGCAAGTACTCAACTTCAACAGCAACCACCCAATCAGCCACAGATGCAATTGTATAAGGACGACCTATCGGCGTGTCGAAATGCACTGCAGTGAGCCGGAAGACAAAATTACTGAACTACAATACCTCCGACGGGTCTTCAAAGCCAATGGATATCCGCGCAACTTTGTGGACCGGGGCATACGCAAAAGGGACGAAAGGTCTAGCCGCACGGAAACCAAATCTTGGCGGTGCTTCCGTATGTCAAGAACGTTTCAGAAGCTGTCGGCCGCCTTCTCGCACCACTTGGGGTTGGAGTTGCACACAGACCGCTGGCAACCATCAGGCGTCTGGTCAGGAAACCGAAAGACCCACTGCCACGGCTAGAAATTTCTGGAGTCATTTATCGGATCTAGTGCAGTTGCAGACTAAGCAACTACGTCGGAGAAACCGGAAGGCAGCTCCGAACGAGAATGGCCGAACACGCGGCAGCGGTGCGCAGAAATGACGCCAGCTCTCAAGTTGCGGCTCATTCGACGAGATCCGGCCACACATTCAAATTCGACGAGGCCGAAGTTCTCGCAAGAGGTGACAACCGCGTGAGCCGGGAGCTGCTTGAGTCATGGTTTACTGGGCCTCCGGTCAATTAACAAGTGCAATGATCTTCCCCTTCCATACTCGGTGCTGAGACTTCGCCTAGGCGGAGTAATTAGCCACGCGGAGAGCGCACAGATGAACACTTTTCCTAACACCAGGGTCGGTGCGTCAGATGGTCGAGAAATCGTCACACCAACATCCAATGCACGTGATGAAATTGCAGCAATTAACGACGCAGATGTCGGCCATCAAACAATTAGCGCACCAAGTGCAACGATCCCTGGTGAAGGCGGGAGCCGTTAATATTCATAGGTATGCGGTAGCATGGCGACTGCATTCTATAAATAATGCAGCCCCTTCTGCGTGAATTATCCATATCTGCTGTTGTCTCTGATGATGGATTTGAGCAGGAATCCGAAACGTCAGGCTACTAAAGCTCTTGTCCTAACGATCGTGTCTCCTTCTTCAGGATGGTAAGACCTTTTGAGTCATTCGGTGATCGCACTTTATTTTTCGCTTCCATGTTCAGGGACTGTGCAGCCCTTGCCTTAGCAATCAGGGAGTAACTGAATAAATCTAGAAAACAGTTCGAGTAGACGCCAGATGTTCATGATTTGCCTGACTTGTTTCATGACGGTCGAAATAGTTCCCATTTTATATGGTGTTTTGCTTCGGTAACAATTCATGCGTTAAAAGCCGTCAGTTGACTACTGTTCTTCCTATATGCGAATATTGAATGATAGAAACCTGTAAGTGAGGGTCGGTAGAAATTTATACAATGTCGAAGTTAGCCTTATCTAGGGGATCTGTTATTCGATAACACACAAAAACACTGACTCCGGACATTTCTCCATCTGGTTTTCGAATAATTTGGGAAATCGAAGTGCCCTTCATAAACTTTGTTGCATCCGGTCTCAGATTTGAAACTTAGAACAGTCATCCAGCCTTAAAGGGTTGTTCCGGAAACCGCTTGCAATGTCCTGTCTAAAAAGAGGTCCGAGGATATAACAAGAGAGCTCAACACTGCTCACACTCATCTGGCACTTGATTCATCGAGCAGGGTTTTCATAATCCAAAAAATTACTCTTAAATGCAACCGATTAATTCTCTTCGTCTACTTCCATGAGAGGGTTGCTTATGCAGGTCTGTCGCACGACCTGCCGAAGTGACCACTAGGAGACCGGTATTTACCAATACTTTTTCACCCTTGTTGACCTGTCTAAAGAGGGGTCGCCCCTCGAACTGAAAGGCCGCTCTTATACCTGACAGTTTGAGGGAGAGGACAGTTATTGGATGCCGATGTGCATAAAAAGAACTTGTATCAGCGTGTCGCTACTGCAAAACCACTGACCACTGTGAATATCGGGCCATAAATTTGCACACGGACTAGCTCATCAAAGTCCAACCTCACTGAACTTTGGACTTAGCTTCCATGCCCACGCCCTCCCCATATCTACTGTGTGAGCCCTAACTTTCCCATCCTGCCTCAATGAGCGAATCCCATTTCACTTGCGTGTTTTGACTGACAAAGAGTTTTCATCAACAACTCTAGAACTCAGAATTAAACTCTGAGTTTAATGTTTTGACGCCATTGACCTGGACTGAATACTGCCGCTCAGTTAGCACAGGGAAATAAAATCCCATCCCACGCACCAGCCACCTCCCTCGGCGGATGCTTACCTGCGTTTTAAGAGTTTTTGTTAACTTCCAATTCTTATTTTCGGCCATAAACGCAAATCTTCGGTCCAATCAGCAGAATTTCTTCCTAAGTTTTGGTCGGGTTGTTTTCTAACCAACTTAAGCGATTATGTCGAAATTAGAAGTAATCAGAACTTGTAATTAATTCTATATTACAAGCCTTTGGCAAGCGAAGTTGCAGAAAATGGGTCCAAAAGATTAGTTGTTTTTTGCACCAGGACTTTTTCCAATTATTTTTGATTTGAAAAGTCATATTGGCGAACACGTGTTTTCAGTAACTCTTCATCAGGCCAAAACAGTTACAATGAAGTTTAAGTTATGCGAATTACAGGACTTATAAATGATTCGGGGACAATTAACATCGATCGTTCCCACGCCACTCGCATGACGAGGCGTTCTATGGCGTGGTCGGCGTGTCGCGGTAATTGGGTTCAGGGGGCGAGGAAGAGGGGGGGCATAGATGAACGATTGCTGAATTAAAGCCTTCCCCCTTGCTGTCGTGGTTTCGAATCCCGCCGAGACTTCGAGTTTTTCTCAGTTGGTTCAGTATCAATTATTTTTGATTTTTTCGTATTTTCTGTGCTATTATCTGCTTTCAGATGTTCAAGGAAATTGGCATTTGTTGTTTAAAGACCCACCAAAAATTCGCAAGCTTTTCTATTTTGTCTAGTTGTCATCTCAGTTGTGCTTCGCAACTGCTGGCCGTTATGTACAGCACAACCGGCGCGTAATAAGTTGGTCAGTACTCTGTGCAAGTTTTTCTCTAGGGCACTGCTATCGTAAATCTAAGGGCTTAACCTCGCCCTCGCTCTCTACCTCGAGTAATTGAATTAGCCGTTTTGCGACGGGCTTTTTGTGTCCGACAGACCGAAGGATTCACTTGGGTGCCTTTCCGGAGAAGAACGTGCGCGTTTAAAAACGAAGTCGGGAAGGTTGCATTTTCACGACTTCATATTGATCAGACTTACTGGAAAAATGTGCGCCTGGAGTTCAGGGGTTGCATTTCTATTTTAAAAATTCCCCGGCAGTAAAATGCAACTTTGGAGGCCTGCAGTTCATTAGACAAGGAGAACTGTTGCTAGTCCATCGTTATAACCACACGATCCCTGATATCGAGGCTAAGAAATTAAACGTCGGGTTATATGATTAGGCCATCTGCGACACGGCAAATTTAGGATCAGTCGAATGCTTCTTATTTCCGCACACACCAATGAGCATATAGCAGCTCATCTGTCAAGTATATATATATATATATTAAAGATTTTATGCTGTACTCCCGATATAGATACTAGCTAAAAGCCCAGGCACGTGTTTCGCCGATATTCTGCCGCTGCGTGACACGACTGCAAGAGGTTCGGGTCCTCAGTGCGTCTCCCAGCGTTCCCTATGCGGTTTCTGGTATACGAACTCCAGGGGAGAATCAAGCGAATAATTTCACATATTGTTCTGTGCAAAATATGGAATTAAGTCTCGGGACATGACTTTTAGGCTCAGACCTGGAATTTCAAGCATATACATATGATACTCTAAGTGCAAATACGCCGGCAGCAACTCCTTAACTGTTATCAAAATTCTGGATTTGAAAAGTCTTCTAACCAGCATGGACAACGTGCATCAGGTTGGTAGGGTTGCCCTAAACGCAAAAGGGCGAGGTATGGTCCTGCAGCCCCACCTGAGTGGTGCCACATGGTTAGTTTTCTTAAAAAACTTTTAGTAGACGTGAATACGCTAACTTTACAAATATCGAGCATTTGCATCTTCCTTGCCACTTCAATCCAACGAGTGACCGTTCCACGGGGGGAGGAGTGCTTATACGTCAGCCCTGGTTACTTCAGGTATCAGTTCACACTCGCATCTCTCCGCGTGCTTCGAGCCCCGCTTGAGCCCTCTTTATTATTTCAATTCAGCGAGTGGCTAAGTAGACTTGCTAATGGAATTGTTCGAACGGGGTGCAACTCCGTTTGTCCCTCTGCAGTGACCATGCACTGCGAATTAACACGCCGTTCACTCCATGGCCTTTCAGTTGCGATGCGCCCCTCCCCCCCCCTTCTCCTCTTAATCCAGCAAGTGGCTGTGTCGGGGGAGAGTGTGCACACGCCACCTTCACTCGCTTCCCTGCGCGTGCTTCGAACTTTGCGTGCGCTTTCTTCCCCTTCCTAAATCCAGCGAGTGACTAACTTCTAACTATTATTGTTTTAGTAAGCTACCCATACGGTGTCAATAAGGTGGGCTGCAGAACCAAACATCGCCCGCAAAAACAAATAATGGTTTTCATGGTTTTACGGCATGCTGACTAGCAGACCCAATCGCAGCATCCATAGAATCTTTGGTCATGGGACGAGTTAAAATGGACATTTAGTAAGATTTCGGGTAACAATCGGGAGATGCCACCCAAAAAAATCCGTTACCTAGAAATAATACCTCTAACAATGGACTCAAACGCCTTCATGCTATATCAGCGGCTGCAGGCCTACTTTCACACACTACTTGGACTTTCCACGGCGGCCTAACATAGGCTGGCCGAACGAACATCGCATGAGATTACATGGACGATGGTCGATATTACTCAACCTTCCCCATCGTTACACACATACACCTGAATATACGGCATACATTCGCATTATGGCAGTTTATTACAAAACAAAAACACTTTTAAATAGGATAAGTCTGCACAACATGGGACAGGAACAGTTTCTAGGCATCTGTCAAAGACGTGGCATTGAGGCCAAACCAAAGACGATACTATACTTCGTCTGTGTGGGTCCACACAGCTCGACCACATACAGGGCCTCCCTCGTGGAGTTTCCTTTTCTGACTACTC